TTTCCTGTAAGCTCAGGAAGCTAACCTGGGAGCTAGCTGTGTGAAGATGATGATGACCCCTGATAGACTGAGGGGTCAGAACAGGGTCAGCACTGGAAGGGGTGCCAGAATTCCTCAGAGGAACATGTGACAACTCTTCGACAGCTCTGAATCATGACTTTTCTTTGCAAGATGGCTACTGGAGAGTCAAAGGGCTGGTAGCCACAAGGACAGCTAGCTTTGGGCTTGTTTATGTCACTAATATGTTGCTGCAGGTGTTATGAAACTTCAGGATAGGGACATGAACTGACTGGTGTGGCACACACCCCAATATCAGGGGGCAGTCTTCCCCTGAGACTAGTCTCAATATCATGTCCAGATTTAGAAAATGAGAGAAGGGCTGAGCAACACAGGTTCCACAGGATTAAAAAAAAAAGTGCAGCCTGCAGAGTGGCTCTTCCAAACTCCAGGACAGATGGCTGAAATGCTCAACAGTTAACTATCATAGCACCTGAATAAGCAGAGGAGAGGTGAGGGAGAAGGGTGAGGGGGTTAGGGAGAGTAAAATAGGGGAATTGTTGGTTTTCTGTGTTTCAGGAAGTCAGCATGGTCTGTGTACGCGGCTTACACTGCAGGTTGGTTTCTGCAGCCTACATATATTTATGAAGCCTGGTGGGTTGCCCTCAGTTGGGAGTTTAGCCCCCAGTCTTGCAGTAGGCCCTGAACTTGACCTGTGTGTTCTGGGATTTGATCTTCACAGAGAACAATGAAAGTTAGAAAAATATGGATTCTCATCCCAGTCCTGGTGTAGGGGTTAATTGTGACGCCAGGAACAATTCACAGTTTTGAGTTAACATTCTCCAATCAGTAGTGTAGTTAGGTCGCTGCAAGGCCAGCCAGAGGTTCCCCAGCTCGTTCACTTCACTGCTCCTTGAACAGAACCCCTGAGCACACAGGAAGGTGGCCGGACAGGCCATCCCTATTGACTGTGCCTCTTTTCTGTAGGAACCCTGGGCAGAAGGTTCTTATGTAGGATTCCACTACTCTGCCCCCATCCCCATTTTACCTCTAAGTCAACTGAAGCTGTGAGGAGTGTCTTATGCCCTCACCCGTCTTGTGAGAACGGAAAACTAGCTCTTTCACCAGAAGCAAGCACCTTCCTTAATATCACATTGTTGCTGTTCTAAAATATCAAATAATAATCAGACTAAAGCTGGAGGGACGAGGTTGGATTCCCAGCAGAATCCACGAGGTATATTGATTTATAACCACTGGAGACATCCCAGTGGAGTATTAATAACTTGTAAACTCTTTGTGCAAAACCTTAGGAGTAGTTTGCTAAGGAAGCTTAAATACAGCCAGGCATAATGGCTCTCCCCTGTAGTCCCAGCAGTTGGTAAGTAGAGGGATGAGGACGGTGAATTCCAGGCCGGGTGAGACTACATAGGAAAACCCCACTGAGAGGGTAGGCGAGAATAACAGCAACAAGACGGGTTCTGCTTAGAAACTGAAAGTTCTCTTGAGTTGAGTGATCAATGAAATAACTCCTTTGCAAGTTTTATCATTTATCATTTGCAAGCATTTTTATCATATTAGTGAGGTAGCCTCTCAGAACAGAATTAAAACTCTTGTTTGCTGGGGTGCTTTTAGGAAAGCAAAGAACAGTACCTAGTGTTGAAATGGGAGTCGGATTTATGGCTCAGTGCTCCGTCAGCCACTTGCATGTGACTGAGGAGGGTCTTGCATTTTGATGTCTACTGAACTTTTTTTTTTTTGAGGCTCTGAGGATAAGTGTCAGACAACATTGCTCCAGTTCACCCTGGTTATAGTTCCAGTACAGTCAGTTATGATCCTCAGAGTGAAGTATTTATTGCGTAGACATGAGTACCTGAGTTCAGATCCCAGGGGCCCACCTACGAGCTGGGCACAGCAGCATGGGTGTGTAACGCCAGTGTGCGATGGGGGCAGGAGACTAACTGACCAGCGGTCTAGCCAAAGCAGCAAGTTTTCGGTCTCTGCATGCCTGTGCTACCACACACTCACATGTACTGTGTACGCATGCACAGGAAGCGTGTGTATGCCGCACAGAAACAAACAAACAAACGGGGGCTGTATTTTTGCTAAGATCACTAAACAGGTCATTTGGGGTATTTGTGTGTTCTTGTCTGTTCAAAGCACTGTTCGAGCTGGGGTGAGCTGTGCTTTCCCTTTGTCATGTTTAGCATGCCTTGGCTTGGACCCAAGTGAGTTGCATTTGATGTTTCTTAGCCTTAGCCAAACCACCATGGATGTTTGTCTAAATGACAACACCCAGTTTAATGCTGGTTAACACTGCTGAGAGCGGAGTAGAGTGTGTGTGACATGTGACAGTCTGGGGCTTGAAGAGCAGTCCTTCTGTGAAGGATCATTTCCTCTGTTGGCATCCGATTCTGGAAGAACCTTTGCTTCTGTCTGCTGTCTGTAGTCCTGTGATACAGGAGCCAGATCGTAACCACTCACAGAGTGGGAGACTTTCAAAACTTGATGCCGGCACCATTGGCTGCTGTGTGGACATCCTCCTAAGAACCCAGATCTCTCAGTCATGACAGGGACCAGCCTCTTGACAGTTGAATGGTGTCACCCAGGGTGAATATGATGGACAGCCACCCGGGATCTGTGTGCAGCAGTCTTCTCTAGGCTTGATTAACAAGGCTACTTTCCAGATAAGTCTTCCGTGGAGAATCAGGCAGAGAGGACCCGAATTTCTGTGTTGTTTGCCGTTGTCCCCAGCTCTGTATGGGGATGTGTTAGACGCAGTGGGACCATTCAGGAAACAGCAGGACAATACTAGGTAGAGTGTGACAGGTCTTTAAAGGGACGTGCCTGCTCTAAGCCAGGCTCACCAGCAGACTGTACTGAAAGGGGGGGAGCCATGAATTGAGCGTTGACAGTGGGCCGCAGCAGTCTAAAGGCTCAGGTGGTTGTCAGCCATAAGTTTAGCTCAGCTCTTTGAGTAATTTGTCACGCCTGGCTCAGCCCCTGCTGGGCCAGCACGTGCCAGCTTAGTGTCAGAGGGCCTGTTCGCCAGACGGCCACTCAGGCCTAACGTCCTGCTGTTCCCCGGACCAGCGGCTTGCTGGGGCCATACACCGAGGGCTGCTCTGTGGCGACAGCCAAGTGCTGTGCAGAATGAGCATGCTCATAATGAGACGTGAATGGCATTAGTGGGTCCCTCTAGAATTGGGCTTGAGCAGGCGCCTCTCGCTGAGGAAGTTTGGCAGCCTGTTCATTAAGGCAAGTCACCAGGAGTTCAGCCCACAGCCCAGCAGCCAGCTCTGGAGCACACTGCCCAGGCCTGGGGCTGTTGTGACCATCCATAAAATCATAAATCTTCAGAGGGGCCACCTTTGAAAGCTTCCAATGCATTTTCTTCGTTAAAAAAAAGTTTTATACAACATGCTTACCTTCTAGCATGAAGCAGATCTTGATACTACTTTCCACAGTTGTACACAGGTCCTATATCTGCAGTTTGGCTTGGTCATCCGCAGCCTCATGTGACTATTGAGTGTTTGACATGTACAGATTGGGGCAGAGAAGCATAGTTGTTCCTCTTGCGTTTCATTTAGTGAACATTTACACTGTGATAGTCACACGTGGCTGCCAGGTGCATCAGTACTGCTCCTGAATGCCTGCGGTCCCCTCATGCTGTGGCAGCAGCCCCTGAAGATACAAGAGAGTGAGGAGAGAGCCCACGCCTAGAAATCGCTGGAAAGACTTTGCCAAAAGAAAATGGGAAAGTGTCTCCAGTTTGAAAATAAGCTCTAGAGAAACTACCTGGGAGGGTGTAATTGTCCCCAGCTTACATTTTCCAAGTGGACATCTTGAAAAGATTGTTTTAAGATACACAGAATGTTAGTGAGACATACAGAATCATGTTTCTTCTTTGCAGCCCCAGACAACACACCAATGGGAATCTACATTCCCTGGGTTTTGTGTTCATGGAGAAATTGCACAATTTTCAAAATAATCAAAACACATCCTTTAACTTTTGCATGGATAATGAGGAAGGGGAAATGAGGCATCATGCTGGCTTCCCCGCGTGTTAATTCCTAGAGTTATATGTGCAGTGCCTCTATTCATGCTCAGATCATTGTGACGGTGCCTGCTATTGCAAGTGCGTGATTCACCTTCAGAGGAAACAGAAGCCTCACACAAAGGGGAAGATTTGCTTTCTGCCCTGTGAAAGGCTGCCACACACAGGGGTCCTATTAAGACAGCTGGAAAGTTGCTTCAGCGTGTTACGCTTGTAAGTTTTATTGGTGACTGGTTTTTGATTACACATTTGAATGTTGTGTGTTCCAGACTGCAGCTTTAATTAGAAGCCAGTGGTTTCTCTCTCTCTCTCTCTCTCTCTCTCTCTCTCTCTCTCTCTTTCAGTTGCACTGTACATCATTTGCTGCACCGTCCGTACCCATTCTTACTTTCTAATGCTCATCACTTACCCTGCTCAGAGGCTCTGCTGCCCGTGCAGAATAAAACTCCTACTTCCTCTTCCCAATAACTTATGTTTTCTTACTTTTGTTCAAAGTGTTCACCAGCATATCACCAGCTCTTACTTAAAGTATCAGTTCCCTGTGTCCTAAGACTGAGAATTCTTGTTGACCTAGATCGGGAGCAGAGACGAGGGCTGTCACATCGTGTGATTGCAGTGTTGTTGCAATCACCTACCTCTCTTCTTGTTTCAGTCAGTCTTAGAGATAATATAATCAGTGCTCTGATATAATCCTGTAACTTCTGGTACACATATTTTTAATGGTGTTATTGTTTGATATTAATGAAGCCCCGAAGAAATCTAGGTATTAAAACTAGCATCTCACTATTATGTGTGACAAATATTTAACTTTCTGACAAAATGCTGAAGGGTTTCCAAGATGCTTTTTCACTTAGAACAGGGAGAGCTGACTAATGGCCTTTAAAGCAGATTGCCCGGGCTCTGTGTGCCATTGTGCACGTTTGTTTGTCTCCTTAACCAATTCCTGCAGCTACGAAGAGCGAGCTCTGTATCTGGAAGCAATAATTCAGAACCACCGGGAAGTCATGACATTTGAGGATTTCGCAGCTCAAGTCTTTTCTCCCTCTCCCAGCTACTCTCTCAGTGGAACGGGTGAGTGTCTACATTATTCTCCTCCCTCCCGCTTAAGACGCATTTGAGTAGCAGATGTACACCTGTTTTTCACAGATAAATGCCTGCAAATTTAAGAAGAACATTCTCCCTCTGAATCAACTAATGAATTTCAAAAGGAATGATGACATTCATTTTAATTTGTTTTGTATCCGAGCTGTTCGCTGTGTTCCTTTCTTCAGCTATCCTGTTAACCCTCGAATCTAGCAAGGTTAATGAACTTTTTCTCAATAATGTGCTCCAGTTCATTCAGGAGTGTGGGTTTCTTGCTGAGCTGGGAATATGTTGTTTAAAAGCGATGCCCAAATCACTGCATACTTATCAAAAAGAGTTCCTCACAGTTGAAGCCGTTGCCACTAATGCTAAATGGGGATTATGCCGCTGAGATACTAGGGTCAGGGATTACTGCTGGAGACATGAAGGACAGTGTCCCCAGGCCCATCATTACAGAGTACCGCGTGCACACTGCTCTCTGGAGTGGTTGGTGTCATGTGGACAAGCCACCGACCGGAGCAGCACCTGGTGTGGAGTCTTCAGAAAGTAGCTTATAATGCTTTTCATTTAGTAGGCCAGTGAAATCGCACAATTTTCCAGGGATTTCCTTGTTTTTAGGCACGTACTATTTTTATATAATTCTATCAAATTGAAAAAAAATATGGACTGCTACTTAAATTGTTGATATGATTATTATAGGGTTTTTTCCCAAAGAATCAAAATATTACTTGTAAATTTGTGCATGCTGTTACAGATTAATTACCTGTCTGAGATTAAGTGGGATATTTAGTCTCTGGCATGTTGAAATTCTCAAGGAGGGGCTTCCTTCACCTTCCCTGGTTTCAGCCTAGCTATAAGGATGCTTAATAGATTTCTAGCCTGTGTTAATTGCTTCTGAACACAGCCTTGCCTCTCCGTTGCTGACTTGTTAACAAATATCTTAGACACAAAGTGAAAAAAATTAAATTCAGTGAAATAAATCACTTACAAATAAAATCAGCCATGCGTCATTGTTTAACATCGCTGGCTCCAGTCCGTGCCTCTTGGAGCTTTGTTGGGAGATAAGAGAGAGAGGCAGGCACTTGCATGGGGAGCCAGGAGCAGCAGGCAGAAGGCTTGAGAGATAAGCAGGCTGGCAGAGGTGCGGGCCCCATTTACATAATCACGCCTCTGCTTCCTGGCGAGGCGAGAGAAACACAGGGATGGCCTCTATTGATCTTTGTTGAACTGGGATACTGAGCAACATGAGAAAAGCTTATAACTTAGAGCTTTGATTAATGTTTCTTACATTAAAAAAAGTAGAACAGCTGTGAATTGAATTCTTTTATACACTCTGCCAGCATTCTATCTAAGACAAGAAAAAAAAAAATCTGTTTCAAGGGAAATGAAGATTTCATACCCAGTCTGGCTAGAGGTTTAAAATTGTGTCTAATTTTTCAGTGAAAGAGCATGAGGAACCCACAGCAAGCTGATGTGTTAGCGCTCTGTTCAGCCTCTTCTCAGCCTTTGGAGGCATTGACTGGGACGTGGTTTCTCAGTGCAGGCTTTTGTTTTTGTTTCTGCCTTTTCCCCCTTTAACTTTTAATCAAACATTTCATTTCTTAAAAATAAAAGAAAAATTAAATAATAACTAAATGTTTATTTTTCTTAACTTTATTTTTAAGATGATGATTATTGATGTTATTGAAACAATGATGGCTGTTGTTTTATATATTTTTTTAGCCTCTGTATAAAGTCCATAATTATTCAACCAGTTCAGATTCAGTGAAACTGTAGGAGCATTTGGATTGGTAGGACCAATTGGGGGAGGGTGGTTAACAGGGTTTTTTTTTGGGGGGGGGGATGTCTTTTTTGTTATTATAAAAATTCTGACAGTTTATCAGGTAGGCAGTAGAACTAACTTTTATGCCTGGAGCAGAGAAACCAAATGTAGAACACAAAAACAAATGTGGTTCAACCTTTCAGATCAACGTGAACATCACATTTCGTGGTATTCACAGCTGCTATCTGTTTTTCACTGCAATGTGGGGACAGTCCTGTGAGGATGGGGCTCAACAGCCCAGTGCTGTTGTGTTCTTCTGGCTTATGTGTAGACCTCACTTCTGGGGGATCCCTGCCCCTGCTTCTACTTACCCAGAGGAAAACACTTCAGTTATTCATGGTGATTTTTATTTTCTTGGGACAAGCACAGTCTAACCCAGAGGAGCCCAGCCCAGCCAGCTTACACTCAGAGACTGAGGCAAAGTCTGTTCTTCCAGGCAACAGACCAACTGGAAAAATTGACCCTGAACTGCTTAAGCTCCCATAGTGCACACAGGGATAGTCTCTGTGGCCACCAGTGTCATCAAAGCAGGGCCTAGGGCTCCTTATATACATATGCTCAGACTTCGCTAGGCTTTGTTTGTATCCTCCCAGCAAGGATACAGACCTTAAGGAAGATGCTTGCATTGTATAGTATAGCATGGCAGAAGGCAGCACACAGTCCTACTGTAGAGAGAAGGAGATGTGCCAGGGGAGCCTGACCAGAGGCTCTACTGATGGGAAATGTCTGTGCCTTCCATAGTCCCTGGCCATGCAACCTTGGGGCCAGAACACCCAGATGAGTGCACTTCTGTCCATAGTGCACTATAATTTCTGAATAGGGACACAGGGCCCATATATAAGAGTTCAACTTCTGTCAAGGGCCTTTAAAAAAGATTCATTTCCCAATCAGAAATGCTATTTTAAGGTAGCCCATTGTATCTGTTGCTTGAGTTATAATACTCTGTATGAAAGGCATTTGGATGGCTTTCTCACCTAGCCCTGCCTTCAATTTGCCATTTGATCCCTTCCCTTATTGACAAGCAACAAATAATCTAAAAGATAGCCAGTATTAACATATGTCTTTTATGCATACATGTATGTGCTTAACCCACACATCTATGGGAAAAGAGGACTAAGCTTGTGTTTTCATGTTATCAAGGAAGGGAAACAGCAGAGAGGCCTGTAAAGGGTTAACTGGAATGGGCACCCTCGAGTGTTGGGGAGGGACTGATGTAATCACTGCAGCTCACAGCCAAGTGCATCTGTTCACCATGAGGTCATTCTTCTGCATGCTAATGACTTGGAGAATCCAGTCTGATGTTTGACATTATCCAAAGGGATATGGTGTAAATCTTTACCTTTGGGAACTGCTCTTACTGAACAAAAATGGGGAAAAAACTTGTTTGGACTTGCATGGGGTTTTCCTTGTGCTGGTTTTTGTTTTGTTATGTTTTGGGTCTTCCCCCCCACCCCCTGCAACACACTCCCTGAAGCTGCTGTAAAGATTGTGTCTGGGCCTTAAAAATGTTGGAGGAATCCGCTTGTGTCCACTGATAAGTGAATCCCAAAGTAACTGTTAAGGTCACAGCTAGCAATTTGGCAATTGAGAACAGTAAGTATGCCTTGTGTAATATCTAACTTTCAGAATTAAAAGTTGGTGAGAATATGTTTTTATTCTGAGGAATGTATAAAACCAAGTTCAAGGAGATTTGTTCTTGGTATCCCTGAATTGGCTGGTGTTTGCCTGAGATGCCAACACTGTTTATGGCTCCTGCCCACTTCAATATTGCTATGGAGGGCCAGCAGAGGGAGCACAGGTCTTTGTTTACTTGTTAGTCTCAAAAACCCAGCCCTTGATTTCTCTAAGACAGGGTCAACCGTACTTTCTCATTCACGACAGGTGGGGTTGCAGAGGCTCTGGGATATAGAGCAAGTAAAGAAAATGTGTCACCCTACTTTGATCCGCTATCTGCTGCTTGAATGTAGGTCATATTTGGGGCTTAAACCAGATTAGTCTGGGTCAGTTTTAAGATGCTGCCACCGTCCAAAGCTGCAAACTTTCCTCTTCCTCAAATGTGTGCCTGGATGGCCTCTTGGAAAGGAGCATTGTTCTCATCTGTCTTATAGGATACTCTTCGTCATTCTTTTCTGCTACTCACTACAACAGCTTTCGACATTGCACCAGAGACCCTAACCTGGTGCACTTGGTCTGCTTGGCGGCAGCCAATGGAATAAATTCACAAAGCTGCAGACAGCACATCTTGTCACACTTTATTCCCAAAAGGAATCTGGGATGTAGATGCTGCACTAGTTCTGTAGTTCACTAGCCTTTTCCCCAAGGGCTGAAGCTCCACCAGCTTCCCACTGTCGAGGCTGCCATGCATGTGTGCTCACAATGCCAGCATCTTGCAGGCTTATCATTCTGCATACAGATCCTGGAAGGAATATTTTACTGGGCAGTTGATTATCATGTTAGCCCCCAGAAACAGACAGGTAAACTCCAACCCTGATCCAGCAAGCTTTTTGTGTTAATTGAAAGGGTAATCCCACTGTATACTCACTTAGTTAGTATTCATTCTTTTTCTTTCTTCCTTCCTCTATCCCTGCTAAAATGATCTTAGTAAGGCTTAGATTGATAGCACAGCTTATGCTTATGCTTCTTATGTATTTAGCTTTATTGTAGCTTAGAGAAACTAGCAAAGAACATCATAGAATGTGGAAGTGGAAGGGACTTTGGGGACTTGTTAATAGTTTTAACTAAGTGGCAGCGAAAACCGTGAGTGAACAACTGAAGATTACAGACAAGTTGGACAACATAGCCCTCTCCTCCTGTTCCACACATGGATGTGCCTACCCAGTGCCTACCCTGTTTTGATAGTCCCATAAATTAAGCAGTAGTGGCCAGGTTGTTTTTGATGTTAAAGCCCAGAATTAAATCTGAGAATTACATATAGAGAGCCCAGAAATTTTCCTTAAACATAAGTTCTCCTGTGTCATTATCCACTCAAGAACACACGACCAACCCAACTTATACCCTCAGCACACTTGGCTCTTCCTGGCCAAAGTGTTGCCATGTGTCCTGGAGACACATCCCGTCCAAACAATCTTTTTTGGCCCAAGCCTAGATCCCTTCCACATAGCCAGCTCAATTCTGACCCTTTTTGCTTTTGTTTTGTAATTTACAG